CGACTTCTTGCTCTACGCGGGAGATGACACTTTTAGAGACATTACATTTACTGAAGAAGAAGAGACTGGGTGTTGGAAGCAAAATAGTTTTAGCATTATCTAAGGCCAGGCCAGGCAAGTACAATGTGCACAAAATGTAAGGTTCACCTTTGTTATGTGAAGAATCGTAACTGTTTTTTGGAGTACCACCGCAAGCAGTAGCATGTTCAATTATTACAAATTATTATTATTCAAGAAATATTTTTTGAATAAACATTTTTTCTTCAAGCAAGACAGTTATTTTTATTTAAAATCATGTAGTAATCAAATAATAATAATCTTTTGGTATATGTTAAAAACTAATAGTAACATTCCAACTCTCCCTAAACATAGTAATGTATAGCATAATATACATTCCTAAAAATGCGATAATCACTACACGTGTAGCAATGTATAGAATAGTATACACCTTGTTTTTCCAAAATTATCATGTCACGATTTTTTTAATGTTTTATATAACCCAAAGATGGTAACTATATACATTCTTTTTGCTATTTTTCAAAAAAGCAATCTTGCCCCGATAAGGGTTAAAAGGGAAAAAACCGAACGAAAAAAAATTGCTATTCTAGCGTTTTTGCGCGAAAACAAAATTGTATTTTTTTAAATGCAATTTTTCCATCAGTCTTAAGTTTTTTAAAAATATAATTTATTTTGTATAAAGGTACCTATACTGTAAGAACATTGTAGTGTTTTTTAAAAATCAGTCATCTTGCCTATTGGGTTTTTATTTCCTAAGTTATGTATGTAATTTTTTATATAATTCTATGTTTGACTTTATGGAAATTGCTAAATAGTTTTTGTGTAACTTTGTAATTTCTATTCACAGAATAACATACTTAGAAAACTTGTATTTCATTAAAAGAGGTAGTTTATTTTGTTTAGAGAAAGTTTATTCTATTACTCGTTATAACCTAATTGTAATTAAATTAAAACAACTTTATTTGTAATATTATATATATATTTGTAATATTCTTTACACAAACGTAATTTTGTAACATTTTACAATGTATATTTGTAGCCATTCTATTTCTATTGTGATTTTATTCCAGTAGTCTATTCCATTAGTATATTATTTTAAAAATAGATAAACACTTTGTTAATTATGTAAGGTATATAATTCAAGTAGGTGGTTCAGAAAATATTATTACATTACATATATGTAGTTATAATTCAAACCTATTGTGCTTATATTTAAGTCGGTTTACCGATCCTAACTGTCATGAAATCAGTGTTAAAGCTTTGTAATTATAAGTAAGTGTTATTCTTATTATGTACGTAACATTATGAGCGCTTATAATTCGTGCTTAGAAAATTAAGTACATTTGTGTCTTGAGAAGTGGAATTACAAGATACTGTGTGTATTTACATGGTACATGAATACGTGGAGAGTGTGCTACAAAGCATTTAATTTTCGAAAATACTGTTGTTGTATATAATAACAATTTATAACTTTATATAAAACAAACAAACCATAAAGAAGATAATAAAATTAATGTTGTGCAATAAATTGTATGGAAAACATGTTGGTATAAATGGGAATTGAATTAAAAATATGAACGATATAGAAATAATCCTACATTAAATATGAAATCAGTTACAAACAAAACAGAAGGCCAAAAGTCCAAAACAAAGTCCTCTGAAATTATAACTTTAACGTAAAACTTTTATCAAAAGACAGACCATTCACATCAGATAATAGTTGATTGATCTATCATTAATTACAAGAATTCCAAGAAACATATTGTGGACGGCATAGCAGGCGCGAAATTTAAAATAGATATACCTATGCTCATACAGATATCTACATACAAGGCACGTGACTTTATCCTTTTTTATATTAATGTAACAATTATTTCATTGTAATTAAATGCCGTCTAAATGCGTTATACTCATTTTTAAGTGTCTTCGTGGCCTCCACTTTTAATATTTTTAACCCCTCAACAATTTGTTCCTTGTTTTCTGATTCACGTACGATAGTAATTCTTTCCATCGTAGCAAAATCTAGATCTTCTATTAATTCTGCTTCGTCTATCAAGCGATCTACTTTATTTAAGAATACAGAAAAACGAGAACTCGTTGGGTTCTCTTTATAATTGAGTAGTGTATCAATATGGTCCAATAAGTCCAAGGTTCGTCTTCCGGCTTTCATTTTTGAAGTGTACATAAAATTTCTAAACAGCTTCCTGCCCTTTTCATCGTTAAGGACATTTTCTATAGTATCTGTAAAACGGTCAAGATCCGCTTTGCTTAGTCCTTCATATCCATCGCAGCTACAGGACGCGAAACAACTGTCCATCTTATCACTTTTATCACACTATTATCGTCTTATCGATTTCTTCAAATAATACATAGGTACAAATTATGGTTGAATTAACATGTGTAACAATGACACTGGGTCACACACTTCACAATATTTATCCATGTTAATGTAGTACATCATTTCAGTCTTCGATTAACTAACCAAAAGATAATGAAATGTGGTTAAACTAAAAATAAGTTGACATAGTGATGTAGCACGAGTGAAGAGCGTATATACACTGCGTTTGTGTGAATAATATTATCATTAGTCACGATTTTCGAGATAACTTCCTCTGCGCATGTTCTATTTTGTTTTTAATTCTTCCAACTAGTACGCGGTAAATTTAAAAATTACAGGCACAACAAGATTTTACATTTACTAAAGACGATCAACTGTGATTATACGATTTATGTTATGACAGGTGACTAGAGTTCTAAATATAATACGAAAGAGCAAATGCGTTACATCACGTAAGGTAAAAAAACGTGCCGTGACCTCGGTCTCAAGCGGTAAGCGCGATTCATTCATGGGAAATAAAATAGAGGTGGAGCGAACACAAACAATGGGCTGAGAATTCAGTAAGAGTATTATGTTCCTTGAATACTGTACAGGTAAGTATCCACCCAAACTGAGTATATCCACTAGCTAAGATGAAACTAGTTCCTTTATTAAATTATCCTAATCTTATTGAAGAATTGTAGGGCTATTTTTAAATCCAGACATAGGTAAGTACCTACTTGAAAAAATCTAACAAGCAATCGATACATTATTTTAGAATCGTAAGTAAATCTTATAAAAATTGCAACAAGAATCACTGAAATCCGTGTGATTTTAAGTACAAATATCCCGTAAATTATAAAATATCTAAGTTGATTTATTAAGAAATGCATGGCATTTCCGCATTTGACACACTTTGTTACGTAGACATAAAATAAATATATTGATTGAGACTATTGTTTTTATAGTTGTCTGCCTATATGAATTCAATTTTACCTCGTGTGTTTCGTATAACTGCCAATGGGACTTGTCTTGGCTGATTTTAAAAGCTATTCTTTAATATGTACATGTGTAAAAATCAAACATCAGGTAATAAGCGAAGTTTAGCACCGTTTGCTAGTTCCCTACGTCCGTAGCTATCTATTTTTTTAGATTTTTTTAACCATCCGACGAGTTAAAATGCAATTATAGTACATACTCTACTACTCATACGTATAAAATTATTTACCTATTACATATTAGAAAATTATTGACGTCTGGCAGGTCTCGCAAGATCCTAGATCGTCATTATAGTTCCGAACTTGATAGTTGAACTAGTGAAGTTTTGCTTTAATTAATTTCTAGAACATATTCTCTCAATTTAAAGCAATTATTTCTACCCGCGATCATGTACAATAAGTGCTGTGTTGAAGTGGTTGTAATAGTCGGCGAAAACACATGTTATTTACTTTTTCTTGCTCTTTGTACATAACATTGTAACTACATTTTTTATGGTATTGCCTCATGTGCAGAAAGGTAATAGACACTTTAAGTATCGATAGTTCCTAGACTAGAAATAAGGTAGTAATGGTAATAATATGAAACAATAAAACAAAATAGGTAACATTATTAATAGTAAAATAGTCCTTAAACCAATTAACCTTTACAATAAAAAATATACTTTAAAATGGTTATTAAGTTCTAATTCCATTTAATGAAGGTATATTTAGTCAAAGTTTTGGCATAATTTTACAATGATATAATTTAAAAAGCGCTGTTGTCATAAAATATTCTATTTTTATGGATTTATCGACATAGGTTTGTACAAGTACTTGGTAATTTTCTGATAATAGTCGCAAAACTACCAAGTACTGTCAAGTAGGTTGCCAATTGCCGGAATGGACAAGTACAAGACATTTGATATATTGTTACCTACATGATGTAACCATTAATTTGAGTTAACCGAATCGAGTACAGGATAAGCAACGGAATTTTATATTTTTAGCTTACGTTAAGTCAACTTACAAGTTTACGAATACATAGTGAATGCACAGATTTCACATGTACAATAAAGTACACCGAAAAAAGAAGGTTAAAATTTCCGAGTGAAATCTCTGGAGTAGAATGGTCTTAATAATTATCTCTCATTCGCTTTATCTTCAACCCTATGACGGTAATTAATAAATTAATAAAACATTAAGTTTAATTAAAATAGGCTTTCTGTAATACTGTAATTCCAACTTTGAATATTTTTGCCTAAACCTTGTTCGTCAGCACAATCTGGCAATATGTAGCGGCACTGTGGCAAGAATCAGAGGGTTGCCAACCTTAGAATGCTAACTTTGTCTCAAACGAGAAAATAAAAAAATCTGCTAAAAACTCTAACATTAGCTCATTTGGGTCTCTAAACTTGTGTATAATATTATTTTTAAGGATTTTCGTACAAACTTATACGACAATGAAAAGGTAAAAAATGTCATATTTGAACGACGCGCGACGGTACTATAGCTACCATAAGCAATAAAATGTTTCGATATTTCGCCTAGTAAGTGAAATATGCACAGCATTTATATTGAGTTTTGCGTTAAAGTTATTCAATGCAAAACTTCACCCGTTTTTTGAAGTCATAAATTCATTGTATGGATTAGCCATGTCCGTATGTATTTCTGTGGTTAGTAAAGTTGTCTGTGGTTATCTTATCTGTAAAATCTCAAATCTGCTCCTTCAATTTTCAATGATTGATCGTTTGTAATTTTTCATGTTTTAGTAATAATTTTATGTATAACCCATTTTTATTTGACAACATTTGTTATACATTATTGAGAACAAAAACAGTGAGCAGATTTTTATATTGTTTTTATACATTACATTGCATATATTGCAGGTATTGAAAACATGTCTGAACCATTTTTGATATGAAAATATTTTTCATTAATTCAGTTTTAGTTTGAAGTTCTACAAATCTTTCATGTTTTTTGTATATTTCTTTATAGATAAATTATAATAATGTCGGCAAAACGACAAGCGACAACTGATCTAAATCATGATAATTGGGATCAAGATGATCCAAGTGATCATGAAGAAATGGGCAACTTTAAAACCGCTTCCAAGGATGTGTTAGAAAAGCGAGTAATGCGTACTGCAAAAAGACGTTCCGTAGCTTTGGGTGACGAAGTAAGTTCTTACAATATTTAGAGAAAACAATAAGAAAAGTAGAAGTCATACAGCCTTCATGCTTACCCCTAAACAAGGCTTCATTAGACAATGAATTATAGAATAGAATAGAAAATCATTTATTCAAATAAACTTAATTTAAGCACTTGAATAGTAATAACAATTTTTTTTTCAAAGAACTCTAAGCCTTATTCCTTTATTATGACTGTTTCAGGCAAAGAAAAATGTTTTTAGTGGGTTTGGAGGTTTTAATAAAACACAACCATCATCATTTGATTTCTTATCAAAATTAACAAATGGAACCAATAAATCTTCGACAACTAAAAGTGATACTACTGTGTCAACAACAATATTTAAAAACACCTCTGGCAATGGACTTTTTGGCACACCTTCAACAACAAAACCAATTTTTGGTATAACAAGTACTCAGGCTTCCCCAATATTTGGGAGTCCTACAACTATTAATGTTTCATCTGTATTTGCTGCAGCAAAATCAGATTCAACTGTACATGATTCACCATTTAAATCCCAAATAACCTCCAGCATATCTAATTCCAATGGAACATCTATAAAAACAGTAAATACGATCTCTGGCACATCAGTATCACAAGGATCATCCACAATATTGGGTTTACCTGCAAGTGGTAATAGCAAGGTACCATTATTAACAAGTCCCTCTAATTCTACCCTACTTACAGCTAAACCTGTATCCAGTACTACAACTCTTCAAACTAAGTCTGAATCGCCTTTTACTTCAACCAGTAAAAAAGATTCTGAGGTAAATGCAGAAAATAAAGAGGCTGAAAAGAAGCTAAGTTATTATTCTAAATTAAGAGGGTTAAATGAGTCTGTGTCTGCCTGGATCACAAAACATGTTGATCAAACTCCTCTATGTATATTGACACCTATTTTTAAGGATTATGAAAAATATTTGAAAGATATTCAAGATGAATATCAGAATAATGATGATAAACCCTCTGACATGGATAATAAAATAACAAAGAATTCACAGGATGAATCAATTGGAGTTAACAAAAGTTCTCCATTGACTTCTAAATCCTCAGTATTTTCACTGGGAGCAGGTATAAAATCTACTACTACTACTACTGAAAGCCCAACTAAGCCATCATTTGTATTAGGAACTACATCAAGTAACACAGCTATGAGCTCTTCACTTTTCTCTAGCACAATTGGAATTAACAAAACTTCTCCATTATCATTGAAATCAACAGGATTTTCATTTGGATCGGATTCAAAATCTACTACTGCTACTGAGAACCCAAGCAAACCATCATTTGGATCAGGAAAGACAACAAATAACACGGGGTCTACAAGCTCTTCACTTTTCTCTAGTGCAGTAAATACTAATGGTTCAGCACCATTTTCATTTGGTATTGGAAAGCCATTTAGTTTTAATTCAAATATACAAACTACTAATACTGAAGCAAGCAAAGAAACAAATGAAAATGAGGATAAGGATGATGATTCACCTCCTAAAGTCGAATTTAAACAAGTTGTAGAAGAAAATAGTATATATGATAAGCGCTGCAAAATATTTGTGAAAAAAGAAGACAATTTTGTAGACAAAGGTGTGGGCACACTTTATATTAAAAAAATTGAAGAGACTGGGAAATATCAATTACTAGTTCGTGCTAATACTAATTTGGGCAATGTACTGCTTAATTTGATTCTGTCTTCAGTTGTACCAATACAACGGATGGGTAAGAATAATGTGATGATGGTATGCATTCCAACACCAGATGCAAAACCTCCACCTGTACCCATATTAATAAGGGTTAAGACCTCTGAAGAAGCTGATGAATTATTAGAAACCTTGGACAAATATAAGACATGAAGGAATAATTGTATACTTACAATGAAATTTATAGAAACTTCTAATGAAAATCATCAGTATAAATGATTTCTTAATCAAAACCTACTGTTAATAAAGTTACCATCATGTTGCAATTTTCTTTTTTCATAGCAAGACAGTGATGCGACATAACAAAATTTTACCTATTTTTTAATTGCATTAAAAATTTTGCTGTTTTCTTTACACTACATTTGGAGATACCTAATACTAACACACATATTACAAAATTATTTGGAATATGTTATTTAGACGATTACAGGCTTTTATCCAAATTTACTTAAACTACCTCCTACTCGACAGGAGGGGGGGTGGTGGTTTATTTAGATACGTTGTCATAATTGAATGCTCACGATATGCACGTATCTCACTGTGTCACAAGGTTTGGCCTGAGTGTAGTTAGATGTTACAGTAACTCATTAAAATAAGTAATAAATCTCTGTCGCTCCATGAAGTAATTAGACAGCTGGCGGATTTACATTGCTTTATTTGCTATTACATATTGCGGTACGAAATACGTGCAACCAGTTTTTCGTAAACCCATGAGTTTATGTTTTTATTGTTTGTCGATTTGGTTATAATAGATCGATAAAAATTGTACTTACGAATATTTATACCTACTACATGTAATTTCATAGTCATAAGTTATTGAGATATAGTAGTTCTATACGAAAACTAAGTAATTTGTAGTGGTGTATTAGATACATACATACTGCTGTGTTATTTCTATGTTATTGATTTGTTGATACTGCGTTGAACGAGTATATTCCATTAATTTTATATTCCAAAATAGCTTTGCGTAACATGTAATCTAATAATTAGTCATAAGTATGATACATGTTTAATTATGTAGGGTAATATCGCCTAACTACGGTCTGTACGTTATTCAAATCCATATTGAACTACCTATAAAAGGATACTTTTTATAAAATAATATTTTTTCAAAATATCTTTCCTTAACTAATTGTTTTAGAAGACCATAATGATGTATAGAAAACATATTCTATATTTTAAATTTACTGATTAATTTAATTTATAACATATTTTTTTCATTAATTTAGCCATAGTCCATAATGTTGGTCTTGGTCAAATCTTTAAGTCATCTTGTTCTTTTTTATAAAGAACGAAGTATTACTTTTGACGGTAGTTTAGTGCTGTCTTTAGGCGCAGCCTGCCTTTAGGCGTGACTACCCTACACAATTATATTTATAAACTATGCATATTTGTAGTAGTGCATTAGATATATACATACTGCTATGGTATTTTTATGATTTGAATAATGATTATACTGCGGTAATTATATACTAACCACATGAATTTTATGGTTCTTACATTAATTATAAACTCCATAGTCATACTTACAAAATAAAAAATAATCTGCGTTATCGTCTGTAAACTTTTGCATAATTCTGCAAACTAAATAATTTGAAGCAGTTTCCCATAAATTTTCATTCCAATCTAGGGTCATGAAACAAATTATGTATTTGTAGGCAACTAAGTATAGATATTGTAGTGGAAGTACACAAGTTATTCTATCCATATTTTAGTTTCAATTTCGACTACCTCTTCCATCGACGAAATGGTAAAAGCCCAATAAATAATAACATAGATAGGTATTTACTTACATATCAAAGAAAATTTTCCGATAAAAATTTAATATTATTATGTGATTAAAGATATTAAAAATATAGTAGTGATAAAGTATTGTTAGGTACCTATCGAATAACATATCTATCTTACTAATATGCAATATTTAGTTTTCTTTGTTTAAAAGTGCTAATCTCAGAAACTATCAGCAGTATTTGAAAAATTCGTCTGTATTATAACCAAAGCGTAGATACATTACTAACTATATGCGGCCGATCAAAAAGAGAACATCAGACTGAATGTGAAACGAATGACGGAGAAATCGTTGAACAAATAGTAAATAAAAATACTTCTTTTATGAAGTCGGTTAACAAGATATATTAGCGCTAGCGGGTCATGTCTGTGATGTGGTGGATAACAATTCTTTTAAATTCATTGGCAGGTGAAGCTGCGGGGCACCGATAATACAGTAACACATACCTATTGTTATTGAATCTTGCAAAAAATCTAGTGTTTCAAATCATAACGATAAAAACAAATATTTTGATGCGAGTTTATCCGTCTGTTTATTAGAAACTGCTTGAAAATTAATTTCAGTTACGGTTGGACCGATTATGAAGTAAAAAATTTGATTTGGTGGCAATTGGAGAAAATATGTATTACAGCGATGCAATTAACATAGCACACAACTATACATACATTTATAAGCTTTTACCGTCGCCTATATAGTAGGTATTGGCCAGAGATTCCCAGACTTTGTTCCTCGTAGATTACTTTCAAAATCCTACTGGTTTCGGCGGATCCCCTGCAGCTACATTTTTACCTTATTCTCAAACCTTGATAAAGAATGTAAAAATTAGATTTAACTATAGAAATTTACGTTGCGACTGAATTGTATACCTACACGAATTAATAGTTTTCGAAACAAAAATAAGAGTGCTTCGTTAATTTATTGTGGTGAATGGATGTTGAAGTAGTAAGAACTATAATCTTGTTACATGTAAGTAGGTAAGCTGTTTCAAATAATGAATTCAAACCAACATTTTTTTCACTTCACACTTACGAATTGTAAACTCCCTTTTTCTATCAGATAAATGGAATAAGTCCCCAGGTTCAGACTCGACAGGTATACATCCGTCGAGTCAGAAGTAGACACCACGAGATGGGGTCTACATGACCCACTTTGGGAACTAAGGGAGTAGAATAGAACAAAACCATTTATTCACTTTGAAATTACTATCCCCCACGTCCTCTTCCCTAATCTTTTCGTCATACCCTCGACGACTTATTAATTAACAAAGGCATTTTCAAATTGAGTCGCCATCAAGCACACGTTCTGTTTTAAAACTAATTGTAGTGCAAGGGGAGCATTTTCAGTAATGGCGACTAATGAGCTTTTGCTAGCAATTGCCGTACCGTATGATATTCCACGCTAAAACCCTGGTAACCATCGTTATTAATTTTTGGTAAATTCTGTAAGTCACACTGGCCCGACTTCATCCTCTACTGGATCGTCGTCAGTCGAATAGAAAATATAATTATTATTAATCCTGTGGTGGCATTATTCCTAATGTAAAACCACAGATAAGAGTATATTACGAGTATATACCTAAATAAATTTCTGTTGCTTATGGATACGTACGTTTCCATTTTTAACATGCAATTTAGTGTGGAGGGAGAGAATTGATAGTAATGTACCATGATATAGCTCTAAGCGTCCTTGTAACCATGATCACTTTCTAATTAATTTGTTTTCGTGGGCCACTGAACCGACTTCCTAATGGGAACTTCCACCGGTGCAGAGTGGAAGATGGGATGGGAATAAAATAACCCCGGAATTCTGTAATCATCCATAAACATACCATGTTACTATTAAAATATAAAATATATATTACTGTATTATGAGGCAGAAAATGAAAGAGGACTCACCCATCATATACATAATAAATTAAAACAAAAATTAATTTACATTTTTCATATCCTAGGCTGAAATTAAATGCTAATCTCAATAACTACTTATTAGTTATAGGTACATCAAAAATAAAGATTACACAGAATACATGTTTAATTGGAATATCTACAAATATGATATCAATTCACATAAAAAATTAAATATATTTTTAATCAATACATTATAGTCAAGTATTTTATGCCAATTCCGGAATTCGCCTACAGATGACTAATCATAAAGATTTTATACATTTCATCTAACTTTGAAATTAATTCTAATAATTTAATTAATAATGTTCAATAAACATTTTATTTACAATAATATTTTAAAACACTGAAAAATATTAAACAGTGTATAACAACTGCAGTATACTGAATTTGCCATTCAAGGTTCCATATATACAAACTTAGAGAAATACCTACAACACTGTTGTTACAATATTGGAACTGGCAGAGCTAATGAAATGACCTAATGGAAAGTACCAATGCTCTATACAAACATTTTACAAATGTAAGCTCTGTGGCATTACCCATGCATTGCCTCAGGATTCATGCATTTGACAATATATATTTTCACATATATTATCTGTTTCGCCAGATAGATGGCTTTAGATAAGAGAAGAAGTACCCATGTACTTATCTTACAATAAAAGAAATTAATATTAAATATCACTATATTGCACTTTACTATGTACCAGCAATATATGCATTTGAAGACATTTGGCCCAATCCTATTTGTATTCTGTGCATGTGCACTTCAACATTATTTTGAAATAATTTTTGATGTCGAGGTTTTAATTTCATTTTTATTTGATCCATAGTCCCTTGCAATACACTCAATTCATAAGCATTCTGATCAGAATCCGATAAACTTTTAACTTGTAACATTAGAGCTGTAAGATCTGTAATTAGATCAATTAAGGTAACATCTTTTATGGAGCTTTTGTTATTCTTTTCCACCAATAGTGATGCTTCTTCTCTACATTTTTCTCGTAAATGTGAAGGTGCGAGCATTGCAGCTAAACAAGGGCCTGGCGCTATCTGTTGGCAGTATAATTGCACTTCATTAATATAATCTTGTAAGTCCATGTTCATTCTCTCAAGGTCTATTACAATTGCAGCATATTTTCTTTCAAAGTCTTCGGGCATTTTTTTCCCAAAACATTTTCTTTTTTCAGCTTCACAATTATATTCTTTTAACCTGCTTATCTTACTTTTCTTTGCATGTAGAATTTTAGTTAATTTTACAATTAGCTCTAGTAGTGGGACAGGATAGTTACCAGAAGAACTTTCAAATTGTTTAACTATATCTGAACATCCTATCAGTGGATCACTTTGTGTATTATTATTTGTGGGCAGACAAGGTTGATATAAGTTGAGCATTTCTTGCATTACATAACGAGGCCTGAATTTTTGTGTAATACTAGAAAGGCTAATTGTATCAGGAGGTTCATTTGAAAGGACTTCATAATCTGGTACAGAATGGGTTCCCAGCTTAGGTCGCTCAAATGATATTCTGTATGTGTTATTTGATGTGTCAACAGCATCAATGCAACCTGTAAATAGGCCATCCTGTGGTTTTCGCAATCTTGCAGTTACCTTTGTGCCTACTACTAACTGCATAGGAATTTCATGGGGTAAATCTTTTATACATATATCAACAGTTTTTCTTTGTTGTATATACCTTATAAGTTTCCTTTTCCTTTCTAATTCTTTTCGTTCCTCAGCAAAGAAAGCTTGAGAACATCTACGGGGTTTACCCATCATTCTTCTAATTTTAGACCATTGTATTTGAGATAGCTTCCGATTTGCTAATTGTGGAAAAGATTCTTTAAGACATATCATGAAATCATTTTCTCCATCAAAGAGTGCTTTATCAATATTACTGTAGAAATATTCAAAGCACACCCATTTATGAGCTTTTGGCAGTTTTAGCAAGTTCCTTAGTCGCATGCCTATTCTCTGACCTGATTTCCGATCTGGTGACTGATTTCCAGTACTGTCCATTTTATCTTCATATTTGTCATTATGTTTATGTACTTTAGTTGGTGATTTCTGTTTTTTCGCACTAGACTGCTTTACTGGGGTCCTTGATAAAATTTTTGGCACCCTTTTTGGTGACTGTCTAGGTGGAGAAGTATTCACAAAATCATCTACAAAGATGAATCTATTTTTCTTCCTTATTCTAGCCGGCATACCTCTTGCGTTTAGTTTTTGAACGGGTTCACTAGGCGCTGGTTTTGGTGGTAACTTCGTCCCTACTCTATGTAGGCCCAATGCAGCAGGCCCAAAAGCTGGGGGCTCTTGGTCTTCCTCTGGAAATTCCAGCTCCATTGGTTCGCTTTTGATTCGAAGTTGAGATCGAGAAGAGTAATTTTCTCCATCTTGGTCTCCTATAGAATTTATAATACATATTATTCTATACTTATGTAAATCAAGTTTTTCACAATTGCAAAGCGATGTGATTGCCACAATGTTAGGCAATATGATTAGTACAAAGTATAATCAGAGTCTTTATTTACTCATAAAATTTCAAATTTCGATGTAATAAAATGACATTTACTTCGCAAATTTGAATTTTTTCAAATTTTGAATTTAGTGAAGCAGTTTATATTCCAAAAAGTGGACGACGCAAAGTCGTATTGTTTATTTGAATTTGTGTAATTGAGTGTATTTACATTAATCAAACCTGTTTAAATAACATGAAATAATTTGAATTGCTTAAATATTTATAAACAAAACTTACTTTCTGATTTATCCGCCATGTTGATGTAGAAAATTTGATTTTTTGATTCAATTTGAAGACGAGAGCGCCAAAGATTGCAGTCGTTCGGATACAATCACAACCTTTTCAAAACTTTATTAATATTTATTGTTCATTCTAGGAAACTGTTGTGAATAAATATTAATAAAATTTCCTAATTAAGTATTTTTATTTGTTCTGAGATTTAAAATACAAACACATGTACTTTTTAATTACCGACTAAAATTAAAAGATAAATAACCCTTATCGAAACAGTAAAGTCTAGTTCGCACGATACCGACAAGTCAAGTTTTGCTCATATTATTTTATTACGAGTATATAATATTTTCTCATTTATGTTAAATTAAATTCGCGTGCTCGATATCACTATTTGTTTTATTTTTTCTAATATACCTAAAAATTTACACAGGTAGTGGGTATATAAAGTAAAACCTGCAAACTTAGGTATTGATAATACAACATATCCCGCATTATTTCAATAGTATCTATCTATTACTGATCTAATTTTATTTATGCCATAAGTTTTGTTTAAAAAATGTAACTTATTTTCTACGAGATGTTTATAAGAATTATTAAGAAAGTTAATAGATATTTTATTTTCTCAGAGTACTATTGTATAATAAATTCTTAACTCATATTCTGTGATTATAGTCAATTGTCAAGTTGTTATGAATTAAAAAGATAAATATGATCTAGAACTAACTAATTTCACCTAAATATTGATAAAGAATCACTAAATTATATAGATATAATGATAAATAATTTCATACTTGGTCATATCCGTAGTGATTCTTTATCCTTTAAGCCTAAATATTATCTCGAGGATATAGTTAGCCTGTGCTGTGAATAGTCTGTTTTCTGATGGGTGTTCTGTGGTTCTCTGTCTTATCTGTGTTTATGATGTGTGTTGTGTTTCCATTCCAGTTTCCTAATTGTTGTGTTGAAATAAACATTGTTTCGATTTTAGCATTAATTTTCACTCTACACTTTTAGAAATGGATTTTTAATAGTTATTCTTTTAATATAATACTTCCTTTTTATTTAATAATAATTTTTATTATGAATTACATCTTGATTTGTGCTTTCTTGGCATTGCTTTTCTGGGAGGAAGCATATTGTAAGTATCTATTAGTATTTCTGTTATGGCCTTTCAAGGTGAAGTGAGAGCTATGAAGAGTAAGAATACAATTACAAGTATGTCTGTATATCATATCGTCATATATTTATGAATGTTTAATAATGCTTCGTTGTACGTACAATTACAGTTTCACAGTTATTTTACTTTAAAATTTAACACTACCGTTGCTAGGGCTCTATCCTGACAGGCATAACGGCAAATTTTGTTTTTTTTTAATGCCTACCCTTAAAACAAGTAACTTAACTAGGATGGCCACCTTGGTTGTGGCCTCTCCTTCCTTTATTCTGTTGTTTGATACCAGTATTATTTGATAAAAAACACTTTTTTTCTGTTATTGTTCATTATGGAAGTAACTTTATTTCTAGTAGCATAACTATACTTTGTCGTTATCTCAGAGAAAATATTATGAATTCTAATTCCATTAAAAATATGGAGCTCAAAATCCTGTGAATGTATATTATGTCCTTTGAAGATTTATATGAAACAATGAAGTCAGAAAACACTACATTATAGTTTTTATCAATAGAATCGGACAATATTTTTGTCGAAAGCCTACTTATAAGGCAATGAGTGAATAGAGTCTAAATTCAGAATATTGTCATGGTTCATGTTAGTATCAGATATTTGTAATGTAATAATGTGTCTAACATTATTACATTACAAATTAGACTGTACATTATTTTAAATTCTACAATTTTTAATTCTTTGCATGTCACAATAATTTCTATGAAGTATTGTTTATATAAACACTTGATGTACTCTTTATATATTTGTAGGCTTAAACAAAAGATGTATAAAATGTAGATCAAGAGGTGAACTGGGTTCGTGTGGAGACCCATTCCCATTTAATGTAACTGAACCAGAGGCTGAGTTTGGAATTCATGTGATGGCCTGTCCATCAGGGTGGTGTGCTAAAATGATTGAAGGTGTAAGTGGTGCTCTGCGATCTGATGGTATGTACATTTTATATTGACTTCAAATCTATTGTCATTTGGATGTTGATATCATGGGATTTTCATTATGCTTATTCTTTCTTCCACTGCTAACCCACTGATAGCAAGGGAGGGTGTACCATTCCATTATCATCATTAAAAGAATACTTATTATTAAGGAGGATGTTATTGCTAGAGTAATAAGTAATTAAATGAAATATGTAGTAGCTGAATTGAAAATATAAATTAATAAATTGGTACCACATTAAAAATTTGGGTATATATAAATAATATGGTTTCATTAGTAATAGTTTATCATGGATAAATTTTTTTAGATAGCTATGATTTTTTCCTATTACTTTAGAAAGTTATTGAGTAATCAATACATACATATAAATAAAATTGGAATGTCTGTTTGTAATATTGAAATAACCATTTTTACTACATGCATATGAATATAAATATGGTACATACACTAAAAAACCACTTTTTACAATTATTTTCTGTCTGTCTGTCTGTTTATTGCGGCTAATCTCTGAAATGCCTGGACCAATTTTAACGGGACATTTATTGGCAGGTAGCTGATGTAACAAGGAGTAACTTAGGCTACTTTTATTTTAGAAAAATAAAGTTAATTACCATGCATATTGTTCGCGCCATTTATAAACATATCAAGTGGTATGGTATTATTCCCCATATCCTAATCCCTTTCCCGCGCACAGTATGTCAACTGAGGTCGCCCGACGACCTCGTCTACTAACGTGAATGGTGACATCTCGTCCCAACCGCTCCGCTTTAAATTAATTAATATAATATTGACATTAACAATAAGTAACTTTGTGTGCGTGCCTGTGTTAAACTTAGTATTCATCGAGTGCAGCAGCTGTGCAAGAATAAACCCGCTCTACAGTCGCAGGTACGTACTGTGCGCCCCCTTTATTTCAATTCCATACAGTCCACTTACCTTACCCGCTACCCCCATTTCTCCATGGTACGCCTTCGAACCGGATACCTACCGCTTAAATACTATAATTAGGACGAGATTTACATCCCCGCATTGATAGGTACATAATTTCATTATATTGTACCGCCCGCTATAAGCCATACCGCTTCTTTGTACCTATTCTTATATTCACCCGCGCATACGCATTTTCTGTACTTAATATATTAGTACGCCATACCTATAAGCCTAGTCTTGGGTATATTTTCTAATAATTACCGCATTTACCGCTTAATTAATAATAATACTTTATTATTTGTATAATACATATTACGCAGTAAGCGTACATACTTACCTACATTAATTTGTATTTTTCAACGCCAATAATCGTAACGATAATGGAGTCGAATTTAAAAATGCTAGAAGCTAGAAACAGAGCTATATTTCAACGTATTACAAGATTGCGTGATACTTGTAAAAATCTGTCACCGTCGTCAATCGACTTACGCTCCGCAGAGGCATTCATGGCGGACAGTGAAACCATTGATACACTGCGCTATGAATATATACAAAATTTAGATTCTATAAACGAGTTACAAATGCAGTTGAATCCTAAATTTGAACCTGATTACCAGGCACTTTTAACGTTTGAAGATATTTTTAGTAGAATAAAAAGATGTCGTTTAATATTAAGCGAAGCGAATAAGCCTTCGTCTTCACAATCGGTACCGCATAATAAATCTAGTATCAAACTAGAACCTCTCTGTATTCCTTGTTTTGACGGGAATATGTCCACGTGGTCTAGCTTTTATGAATCCTTTAGGAGTAATATTCATTGTAACACCGATTTAACCGATTCACAAAGAATTCAGTATTTACTTAGTAAATTAACTGGAAGCGCTCAAAAAATAATGGCCGGTATAATTCCGTCTGGTGATAATTATACTTCCATATGGGAAAGTTTAGTAAAGAAATATCAGGATAAAAGGGCCTTAGGTTCATATTATATTTCTACATTATTTAACATTAAATCGGCCACAAATAATTCCGCTTCATTAAATAATTTCATCGAAACTTTCGATGCCGCTGTTGCTGCTATGCGTCAATTAAAGATTGATGACATGCAAGATTTTATTTTATTGAACTTAGCCTTACGAAAGGTGGATTTAAGTACTACACAGGCTTTCGAAATGACCGCTAGAAATAAAGATATTCCGAGTTATATGGATTTTGTAGAATTTATAAAAAGTCAGGTGAAAATATTAGACCGCACGAATAATAATATTAATTCAGTAAGCCGCAATACATTAACTAATATTAAAAATAACCGCCCGCAAAATGTACATTCGTTTGTTACACGAAGTGACACTTCTGGTCACCGAGCTCCTTGTTCTATGTGTAATACTTCGGAACATTATCAGTTATATACCTGTTCCACATTTAAATCAATGCTGCCGAAAAATCGATTAGACTTTATTAAATCTAAACGAGGTTGTGTAAATTGCCTTAGTATAACGCATTCTGTGTCCACTTGTAATTCTAAATACAAATGTAGAACTTGTAATAAGCGACATCATTCCTTATTACATTTAGATAAGGCACAAAATAATAATACACCGCTCTGCACTCATCGATCTAATGTGATGAGTGATCGATCTACGATCGCCGCTCCCGCACTCCCGCCAGTCCCCTGTCGTAATGCAACGCAATGTAATTTGACTCCTGACGGGGACTCAAACGCGCCCATTGAAATCGCGGTGCCCGCACCTTTGTCGTTGTGCACTCGAGTACCTACCACTACAGCAGCCATGCCTGGTGTTGTATGTCCAACGAGTAAAGTGCGTACAGAGGTACTTCTGTCTACAGCGTCTGTTATTGTTCGTAACTATAACAAAAATATAATACGTACTGTTCGTTGCCTTTTAGACAATGCTTCGCAACATAACCTTATTACGATTGATTGTTGTAAACAATTAAACTTAAACATTATTCCGCTTACGAATTCATTTTTAAAAGGTGTCGGATTAACAACGAGGCCTATAAAGGGCCATGTTAAATTAATGATTTCCGATAAACATAACGAACAAAGCTTCACTATAACCGCGTTAGTTGTCGATTGTATTACCGATCGGCTACCTATTGAATATATAGATACGTCTGTTATAAGTCATTTAGTCGACTTACCGCTTGCAGATCCTCACTGGCATATGCCAGGTGAGATCGAACTTGTATTAGGAGCAAATTTGTTCCCTTATATTCTTTTAAGTGGAAAAATAATAAGTCCACCCGCACCGCCAGCCATAGAAACTATTTTTGGTTATGTTTTTATTGGTGACGTTCCCTGTAATAATGCGACCACATCTGATCGTGATCATACCGCGCCTCAACAAGACTCATCTTCCTCTGCTTTCTTAACATGTATTGAAAATAATCTTAATGATTCTCTCTCTAAATTCTGGGAATTAGAGGAGGTTCCTATAAATAAATATTTAAGTCCCGCAGAAAAGGAATGCGAGCAAATGTACTCTTCTACCGTGTCCCGCGACTCGTCAGGTCGTTATTGTACTGTTTTACCGTTTTATAAGGATCCTAGCGAGTTAGGTAATTCCCGTATCACCGCTTTTCGTCGCTTGCTATCGCTAGAACGCAAACTAGAAAGTACAGGTTTGCGCGCTGATTATAATGCCATCATAAAAGACTATATAGACAACCAATATTTATCTGAAGTTTTAAATACATCCGATAATATGGATGACGGTTACGTCATACCGCATCACCCTGTCATTAGGCAGGATAAAGACACCACCAAGGTCAGAATAGTCCTTGATGCAAGTGCTAAATGTCATAACGGCATTTCTCTAAATGATATTTTACATACGGGTCCTAATCTCCAAGCTGATTTATTTTTACTTTTATTAAATTTTCGTTTATTTCCAATCGCTATAACCGCGGATATAAAACAAATGTACCTACAAATTTTAGTAACCGACGAGTATCGTAAATATCAAAAAATACTGTACCGCTTTAATACGTCTGAACCCATACGTACCTTTCAATTTAATAGAGTTGCATTTGGTCTTAAGTCAAGTCCTTACCTTGCCATGCGTACAATTCGTCAGCTTTGTGATGATGAACGCGATAACTTTCCGCTGGCTGCTTCTATAGCTGAAAGGGAACTGTATATGGACGATTTAGCTACGTCTATACTAAATGAGGTTGATGCTGTCGAGGCTACCGCTCAATTAATTAATATGTTTAAGTCAGGTGGCTTTCAATTAGTTAAATGGTCTAGTAATTCAAAGAACCTACTAGAGAGCATTCCTACACCGCTGAAACTTGCACAGCAAGTTGAGTTTGATAGACGTGAGTCCCTTAAGATATTAGGGCTCGAATGGAACCCGCAAGATGATATTTTCGTTTTTAAAATCAATTGTGATGACCGCTTGTGTACAAAACGTACCATACTTTCCCTAATTGCCCGATTATGGGACGTATTAGGTTTTGCTGCGCCTGTCGTACTTACCGCTAAACTACTTATTAAAGATCTTTGGCTGCAGAAAGTCGGATGGGATGATGTACCTCCGACAAATATAACCGCTATTTTTACTACATTTAAACAACAATTACCGCTTCTTGCTAATTTAAAAATACCGCGTCATTTATCTGTCACGCAAGACTGTATAATAAATATCGTTGCGTTTTCGGATGCTAGTTTAAAAGCTTACGGCTGCGTTATTTACTTACATGTGACAGATCCCGCAGGCAATATATACGTGAGATTAGTCTGTGCGAAATCAAAAGTCGCACCCGTTAAGGTAGTCTCACTTGCGCGACTAGAACTTTGCGCCGCCGTTTTAATGTCTAAACTAACTAAACTAGTTTACGATGCTTACTCTTCACGCACGTCTGTACAGAACGTCTATGCATTTTCTGACTCGAAAATTGCACTCTCATGGATTCATTCTTCACCACATCGGTGGAATATCTTCGTTAGCAATCGTGTGGCTAAATGTCAGGAAAATTTACAATCAAAACATTTCTATCACGTGGCTGGATTCAATAATCCAAGCGACTGTCTTTCAAGAGGTTTACTGCCTAAACAATTACTTACCCATGAGTTGTGGTGGAACGGTCCCGCGTGGCTGAGTAGCCCCGTCTGCTCTTGGCCGGTAGAGTCATTTACACCTGAAAAATATGAAAACTTACCTGAATATAATACTAAGACGTTCGTTACAGCTGCTTCCAATACTGTAGTCTCACCGCTTTGTGATCTTGCATCTAAAGTTTCATCCTGGAACAAATTATTACGAATTACTATTTATATACTGCGATTTATACGCGTATTGCCCCGCTCTAAATATATTGAAACCGCTCATTTAAATATCGCTGAAAAATATATACTTACAGCAATTCAGGTCGCTCATTTTTCTCATGTTATTAGAGATCTTAAAAAGGGTAATTTACCTACTGGAACTCTGCGTAAATTAGATCTTTTTATTGATGACGATGGTATAATTAGGATCGGAGGTAGATTATCAAATGCTAACTTACCTTTCCAGGCAAAACATCCCGTTTTATTGCCTAAGCGCGACCATATTACTTACTTAATAATAGATCATTTTCACCGCGTGAACTGTCACACAGGTGCCATTCTTCTATGTTCTTTAATTCGCCAAAAATACTGGATATTGTCAGCCAGGTCAGTTATAAGACAACGTGTACATTCTTGTAATTTTTGTTTTAAATACTCACCTTTACATCCAAGTCCAAAAATGGCTGATCTTCCTGCTTTTCGTGTTCAAGAGACTAAAGCTTTTGTACATACGGGAGTAGATTATGCTGGCCCTATTAACATAACCCTTTGTCGACGCAGTGGACGTAGTAACCAAGGCGGTACACATCGAACTCGCCTCTGATTTATCTTCTGAATCGTTTATTTCCGCATTTAAGAGATTCATATCTCGTCGAGGTCCAGTTTCTTGTCTTTATTCTGACAACGGAACCAATTTCATTGGTGCTAAATCGCAATTAAATGAACTTTATACATTCTTAAATTCTGAAAATTATAACTGCATACTCCAAAATGACTTAAGTCAGCGTAGAATAGAATGGCATATGATACCGCCCCGCGCTCCTCATTTCGGAGGAATATGGGAGACACAATTTAAAAGCATAAAAACCCATTTATTCAGAGTGATAGGGAAACAACTGCTTACTTATGAGGAGCTTTTGACGGTTTTGATCCAAATTGAAACTGTATTAAATTCCCGTCCTCTTTGTGTGTTACAAGAGGAATCGCATCCAGAACCTCTGACGCCTGCTCATTTTATTATGTCCTCACCTCTGCAGTGCTTACCTCTAACACCACTTTCTGATATTCCGTTACGTACTCGTAAATCATTACTCGATCAAATGATCTATTCCTACTGGAAAAGGTGGCATTTAGAATATTTGAACAACTTACAAGTTCGCCAAAAATGGTTTAAAAATACAGATAATGTTAAGGTTGGTACTGTAGTGCTTATACATGATGATAACGTCTCACCACTGCGGTGGCCAATGGGTATCATTGTGAAAATATATCCAGGCTCAGATGGTATTGCTCGCGTAGCATCTGTTAAAACTCAAAATGGTTTGCTCAAGCGACCAATCGTTAAATTAAGCCCTTTACCTTCTCAATAAACTCTATTTTTCTTATAAACCGCATTTAATTATTATTTACCGCTAGGTGTATTCTATTAAGTTTTTCTTATTATATTACGCTCTATAACTAATTATAAGTATGTTAGGAATATATACTATAATGTACATCCGCTTCATATATTGCTCTTCTTTGTATTTTCTTTGAGAAACCCTTAGTTTCTCAAGGCGGGGGAGGATGTTCGCGCCATTTATAAACATATCAAGTGGTATGGTATTATTCCCCATATCCTAATCCCTTTCCCGCGCACAGTATGTCAACTGAGGTCGCCCGACGACCTCGTCTACTAACGTGAATGGTGACATCTCGTCCCAACCGCTCCGCTTTAAATTAATTAATATAATATTGACATTAACAATAAGTAACTTTGTGTGCGTGCCTGTGTTAAACTTAGTATTCATCGAGTGCAGCAGCTGTGCAAGAATAAACCCGCTCTACAGTCGCAGGTACGTACTGTGCGCCCCCTTTATTTCAATTCCATACAGTCCACTTACCTTACCCGCTACCCTCCATTTTTCCACATATGAAGTTGTGGGTGCAGCAGCTAGTTATAAATATATTTAGATAATTCTGATGAGAAGATTGTTTATACTAAGCCTTTTTAACAATACATACATGTAATTAATAATTGAGCTATCTTCTCATTTGGATTATCTAAATATATGTATTGGTGCGAAATATATGTATAATTTTATTTAAAAATAATTTCAAAACTTCATCTTGCAACTCTATTAATAACAAAAATATATGATTTCAGATTATGGAGCAGCAACAGAACGGATGTGTCTTCAGAGGCCTCCAAGTGATTATGAAGAAAGGTGTGCATATACTATGTGGAATCATAAAAAAGTCTACATGTGTTTCTGCAATGGTGATCTTTGCAACTCAGCAAGTAATACTCATATAATTACTTTTATGACTCTAGTAACAATTGTTGTCACTGTATATAATTGCTTATAATATGAAAATAAACTGATTATAACATATTGTGTGTGGCATGATGAAGTAAATTTATATGTTGTTACAGTTTATTTTACAACAGTATTGTAACATTTTATTTATCTAACTTCTAACTCATCTCAACTTCATAATGTTACAAAAATTAAAATCTTACTATGACACTTAATTTATGAATGGTAAGTTATTTATATTTCCATAAATCCATACATTGTAAGTGATATTATTTTAAATATGTATACATAACTTTATATTACACATTTTTATCATTTTGATGGATGAAAGCAATTGGATGGATGACATAAAAGCAAACCTTATTAAGGTACATTGTGCAACATAAGAAGGCAAGTAGTTGTAAGTAAATTAAAAAAAATATGTATCTATTCCCTTTATTGATCAAATAATTTTGTCTTTCATGTAATTATATATATTTGCAAAATACTTCAATATTTCTATTGTAAATATTAAGAGAATTTTATGTATATTATATTATAAAGAAAGGAAAATTTTGATATGTAATTATATATTCAGATAGAAAAATAACAGATTTTTCTCTAAATGACATTGATAATTTATTTCTTATGAGTACATAGTACTGATTGTTGTAAATATGTATAATTAGTTTTGATTATATACTGTTTTAAATTTGACGCGGTCATTATTTATACGTATAATTAGTAAAAATCACGGGATCTTACCACATTTTATATTTATTTGCTGAGTTCCCGATATTTCGGTAGTGTTTCAACCACCATGATCACGGGTAAACTATATATATCGGGAACTCAGCAAATAAATATAAAACGTGGTAAGATCCCGTGATTTTTACTAATTATACGTATAGTTTTTATTAGTTCCAAAACTGTAATCAAAATCACTCTATGTCGTTAAAAGTTGTTGATTTCACTGATATAAAAAAAACAATAATTACAATATATTTTTTCTGTGATTAAATTTAAAATTCATATCATGTAAATTAGATCTGAACTCTGACCTCATGGAAATATTGATAATGAAATAGTTAAGAAATGTACTGTCATTTAATATTCACTTTTAAACATTTCTCCATAACTTTCAAACTTTATGACCAGTAAGTGTCATACTGTACCCCTTTCATATGCCTTGTATTATAAATGTGTAAAATGTACTTAATTGTCAGCACTATTTAATTAATTTAGTTGAGTAGGTATATAATTTTGTCTTCCCTAAATTGTACCAGTATACATATGTAAATATTTTTGAAGTACTTTACTACCTTACATGTTTACATGCAGTTTCAAGCAAACTGAACGATAATATGTTTAGTCTGAAGTCTATTTTATACTCCTATATATACTGTATTCCACTATATGTCTGCAATCTTTCACTAGTTTTACAAATGCATAGATTGCATTGGCTGCTTGTAAATATATATTTAAATTTATCTGTATGTACTCAACTTGTTTGTGCTTTTATATTTATAATTTTGTATGATTGAAACAGAGAATTGTGTAACTAAATATTGGAAAGGGATTTGTAATTTTGCAAACTGATACATAACAATTTTTAAGCATACCTACCTATGGGTAAAGAAATGAAAAAAATGCTCAACACACTTATATGCCTGTACAATTATATTTTTTTATTTACTGAATAATATTGTGGCTGCTATCTTCTGTATAAAATAGGTATGAAATATATACTTACCTTGCATATATGTTAATTGTGATGAAAATAAGACAATATAAGTAGCAATAATCTACTAATAAGAATCTCCATTACGTATTATCACTGCCTATTTGTGTTATAAAAAATAAATAAGCAACTGCTGAATAATTTATAAGAATTTATATTTTTTAATATTTACATTCCTGGTACTTATATTTAAAATATTATTCACATGGATTTTGAGTAATTAAACTTTCCATGTATAGATATGATTTTTGTAAATACATATTGCAATGTATTTTTCACATATTTAGGATTCGTTTAATAATGAAACATTTTATTTTCGAAATATACTATAATGACGTAATAATTATTACTTTAAATAAAATTTATTGTAATGAGTATTTTTACATCTTTATACAAATACAATGTTGTACTTTTAAGTTTGTTTTAATTTATATTCGCTAGGGTCGATTGAAAGGCCAAGTGTGACGTATGCTGCCCAGTCGATGGGGTTGTAGTCTATTGTTGATCCTCAGCTCTTGATTGGCGAGCAAAGAGTTGATGTGGGGAATATCATGGAAGTATAGGTGGCCGTGGAGTAATGATTTCTCCACTGCAGCGATTGCCTCCGTACCTTCTAGTAGGTACGGGTCCAGTGGCTCGGGTTCTGTAGATAAATAGTTTATTATTGTATAGCAAGTATAATTATAGCATTTTCCAATTAAATAATTAACATTTAATAAGTCGTCTGCGTGGGTAATTCCCAAGTCGCTTTTATTTCAGCAGCCAAGCAGCTTGCTTTGTATGCTGTTTCGATTGAACCGTGAGGCAGTGAGTGTAATTACAGGATAATAGCCATGACATAGTTGTCCTGGAATGAGAACCATTGTACGAACACGAACGTCGCGTGGTAATGTGATGTCGCATTGTTAATGTATATTGTATACAGGCTGCGTTTACCACATACTCGTAAATGGTCCATCAGCTTGTTTGCCGTTCCTATTATATAAAAAAAAACAGCAAAAACCAAAGCATTGTTTTTGAATGATATCCAGAAAACTAGTTATTTTTTTTACATTTTACATCTTTCAAATCCTAACATAATAATTTACCTGACGTTACCTCGCCAGTGTCGGCTCGTCTTCCGAAGTTTGTACCGAAGCGAGGAGGGCTAATGGATGGAAGATATAGACCTTCCGGCCATAGAGATTCAGGGTCAGGTGAATCTACTCTATAAGGCGATGGAGGTAGCACTGGTATGGAGACCTCTGTGAAGTAATAATATAATAAGAATATTTAAAATATATAATATATTAATTGGACTAATATCTACCTAGTTGCAACAAACCTAAACCTAAACTAAACCAAACAAATAAAAATGTTCCTAGTATTATGGTAATTACTTTTAAAAATACCGAGAATAATATAATGAGGCCTGCATCTCTATTAACATGAACAATACTAGGAATATGGTAGATGTATCTAACAGTAGTAATCGATTACACTATTACTAATTTCACAAGGTTAACATAATATATATGTGACATCAGAAAAGAGCGTGTTTCGAAGGGTTGTAGTTTAGTTCATGACATATGAGTACTATTAGGAATTTCATGTTTTAACAAAACCTGATTTAATTTCCATTATGGTAGATATAACCTATTGCTGTATAAAAATATCCATGTACCTACATTCATAACAATATAGTCGTACCTAGTGTGTTATGGCCCTATCAATTAACGTATTATTGAGGCATAGTATAGGTAGTTACCTAATATAGTTTCTTAATGATTTTAATAATGAAAGTTGAAAATATGGCATTTTACAAGTAAATGACTATAGCCATTGAATCACGAAGTACTTATACCGTATGCGGTTTACTTATCTAATGTACCTAAATACTGCAAAACTTTGCTGGACCTATGGTTCAAAATTTATTTTATAGTTCTAAATACCTTTCTATTTTATTGGGTACAGTATTATACTTACCGACTTTGTCATCCATACAGAATATCCTAATTTGTTCTAACTCAAAGGCAAGAATATTAAGATACGATCAATTGAATATTAGGAGAGAATTGGGGAATTAAATAAAAAGATGAATTTACACAAATCGCAGTAAATGCATTAATGTTTAGTCCACATCTACCTGTCTTATTTTATTTGTAATGTTATTTGACACATACCCATAAAACTGTTATATTGCCACGGTATCTGGCTAATTGTTTCCCGTGGCACTTCTTCCTCGGTGAATGGTATCGTTGGCCTCGTTTTTGGATAGCCTCTTCCTTGTGTCAACGACGACTTCCCTGAAACGTTAAAACGATTAAAAAAATAAGAAGCTACATACATACGCTATAGTACATGACCATAATGTATAAGGTAGAAGACACATACCTAATACATTGCTCAAGTACTATAGCGGCCACCTACTAATAATAATATTATTATATCTTTGCCACTTCACTTCTTTTATGGGGTAGGTAATACTTAGAATTTCGCATTTATAAGGCGCAAGAATTAAAGGTCCTCAATCGGTGTTTCTATCCCTGGAGATTCAGTTAGGAATATAAATTGGTACAAAGTTTATTGCTTTACTTACTGTAAAGTTGCTATACCTGTTGCACATATGCCTTTTGCATGCCTAAATAATGCTATTCGTGACAATAATCTTCTCGAATTCTAATTTCTAATGATAATGTGAACTGATTATATGAACTATCTATTCAAGCGGTTAAATAACCGCACCAGATAGGCTATAAAGTATTCCGAAACGGTGAATATTGTATGGTAAAGTTTTTGTATTATAGGTATAATAGGTTAATATTACATAAAATTTTAAAACTGACTTTGCCCGTAGATGAATAACTAAAAGAATCAGGATGATATGTAACAATGAGGGAAAAGTATATAGATTAAATAACAAAAGACCTTGTTGCACACCAGATGCCTTATGCACCATGAGTATCCGCAACACCAGGGGAATTGCAAGTGCGTTGCCGGCGTTTCACGAAGGAATAAACTCTTTTCATGAAGGTTTCGATATTGTATCGATTCGGAAATACCATTGCTTGAAGGTGATTCTACAATGTTGTGCGTACTTATATGACTAAGAAAGTTGTGCTTGGTTTTCTATTATAAAATAGCTGTGTACCTAATACTTACAGCCGTTAAAGTTTTCTGCCAAAATTGCCCTAGCTCGGTGCTGATGGTGCCTTTTTTCAATTACAGACAAAGGATCACCAACTCCGTGGCTGAAACTGCGAGCAGGGGTATTCACGGATACGTGCGATGTGAATTGCGTGCCAGCAAGTACTTGTGTTGTTAACTGTATAGTATAAAGTACCAGGCTGCATAAGCTCTTAAACGTTTTGTTTGTTGCTTTCTGAAATTTGAAAATGCACGGTTGTTAGGTTCGTTAGTGAGGCATAGTAATAATTAGGTATCTATTATTATAAGTCCATTATCAACGGAGCCAATGTAATTCTATGCTCAACATAATCAGTCACCATACTAATAAAAATATGTATTTAATCATTACACTATGTACGTAAATATAATGTTTTTAACCACAAAAGTTACACAATCTATATTGACATTTTTGAGGTTTATAAATTTATTAATTTAACAACCAGTCAATACAATTATTTACATATTTTTACAATATAAACGTAGACAATAAAATCCTGAAAAAGTCCCTAATTATCCTTAAACATCTTCTCTTAAGCAGTGCCTCAGGCACTAAGGACAAGAGGAAATTCTGTGGTGTTTATAGCTGGTAGGAGTCGGTTACCTACTGCATGCTGTTCCAAGCTACGAGACGAGCGGGTTTTTATGCCGAATTTGCCCCAACTCAAAAATTACTTAAAAACTGATTTAAAGTATTCGATGAGTTTTTACTAATTTCGTAATTATTACTTATTATTTTGGGTACATGTACCATACCTATTACTGTAATGTTACTTATTAAAAATTATTAAGCCCTATATATGTCGAAACCTGTGTAGCCCTGGGCTTTATAAGTTGCAATACTCAAATATGTAAGTGGTGCTAAGAAAGTGTGATCTCGAGATCATGTGACTACAATTACTTTCACTCCACCTGTGAGCAGTTTGTAACCTGTAGGTATTATTTAACAGTAGATATAATTGGCTTGAATTACATACGAGTTGTTTTAGCTTGATACCACTGGAAATGTACCTATGCTAAGATAATTTTATAGAAATAATAACAATCAATAAAAGAAAACCTAAAGTATCTAGTATTACCTACCGACTAGCTAATTACCAATAAATATATATTTTGTAAAATTATTCTAATTATTTCTGAAATAAATTGGAGAAAATTTGTATTTTAGGAGTAAGTGAATCTTAATAATTCTAGGAAGAATCAATTACATCTATATTATTTCAATGGTTGTACCCGGTAAATAGTGAAATGGTCATGGATTAAGTACACGGAATGGGATTTCGATCAAATAAAGTATGGTAAATAGGTTCCTTTTTTTTGTTAATTATTTATCTTAAAATTCATTATATTCAGATACAGTGCTATCTGCGATACATATTAGTTGTCAGATATGAAATATTTAAATTATTATTATTAGGCCATCAGTATTTAATTGTATTTATTACCAGTATTACCTACGGTAGGTATTGCTTTCCAATCGTTATATTGCAGATAGTTCTGTCAAGTATAATATCGAGTAATGGTGTATAAGCTACCGGTAGTAAATGAATTATTAGCATTCTTATTTTATTTGATGATCCCGCTAATTAATCGATGAATTGTACACTCCAAATAGTTATCTACATCTAATTAATATTTTTTGCAGCAATGAACAAATATTATGTAAGTACCCAGGTGACTAATAAGGCATTTTTACTATGAAGAATTCTTGTTTAACTAAGAAGGAGGCAAATAGATCATTATCAGCATAATAGCATTGTAGATGAATCGCGAATAGTATAAGTACCTACTTATAACTAACACCAACAATTGTACACTAAAAGCTACATTATTGTCGGTCCATTTAGTGCGGCATGCTCTCACGCAGGTTGCAACACAATGTCGTCTCAATTGGACCCTGCCAGTGGCGGTGGCGAAACGAGGAGTACGCTGCGGATGGCACGTGGGACTGCCACTCAATGGTGGTGAGGTAGCGTGAGTAGAATATAGTTCACAATGACGATAGCGTCATACCACAGAATATAATAACAGTACTTTGGTCGTATTGAACCGCACTATTATTATGCTTAGTAGCACAGAACAAGTATTATTCATTATATACTGTAGGTTCTACCTAGGTAGGCTTTACATGTCAATATTACCTACTCAAAACTTTGATCCTGTAGCGCTTAATAAGTACGTTTTATTTCTGACTTGTAATATAAAATTTATTATAGAGATAGTACCTATTTTGCTGATGGATTTCCAACTATTTATCAATCAATAATAGCTTCTGTCTTTCAATTGTGAGCCAAATAAACAATTGAGTAGGAAGTAATATAATTTATAGCATTGATTTATATGACTGTCTTTCAGTGTTCATCATCCTACAGAATACTCGTATCTTACTGTAAGTTAGTACCTAGTTTGTTATGGTCTCTAAATACATCTACTATAATACTGTATTTTATTTAGGTACCTACAACGTCATTCTTTCAAGTGATAGGTCATAAATTATGGACTTAAACACCACTAAGCAAGCATTTTTCACCATAAGCAACATAAACATAGCTTTAGTATGTTATATACTCGTACCTATTTACTAACCGCCCTCAGTTTTTTGTAGCATATGTTTTATGTATAGCTATATAGCTGTTAAGTTTCATCAAAATCATCCATCCATACGCACAAACTTTCGCGTTTATAATATTAGTAAGATAGGTAACTCCAACTTAAAATAATAATTTTCTTTTCAATAATACGTACTAATAGGATCACTTATTATATAATTTTGCATATTAAAAATTATAAGTACGCAAAATAACAGATACTTATTGCAGTATTTTTATAAGTTGTCAAGTGCATTAAAGAGTTTACGACCGTGACCAGCTTATATGAAATACGTGCCGTTGCATTTGCATTCTACATGAGCGTGTTTATAACCTAAGTTACTAATACATAGCATATAGGTCTATATGCTGTATCGTGTCTTTGCCAGCCTGCCGAAGTATAAAACTGTTGAGATAAGTTGTAGTACCTATTTGTATATACCTACTAATTACATATTCTATTTTATTACATATCTAATTACATACTCTATTTTATCTAAGTATAGCATTATTCTTTCAAGTAGATCATAAATAATGAAGACTCTGGGTTCTAAGTTTAGTAGTCTATGGTATGTCAATGTTCTTGTGTGCCTTGTTTGTGATATTTCAAATTAATTGGTGGAACATTAAAAGAAATGTTAAACTTATTCCTCTGCGTGGTTTTATTAGAATTATACAATCTATTCAATAAAAGCTGCCACTTTATATGAGTTTTTTTTTATATTACGCCAGTGACAATTTAACAGTATAGGTTTCCTACCAGAAAGAATGTTCTAACTTTGATAACAAATGAAGACTATGAAGGTTGTAGGACGGGTTTTGACAACTGTACGCTATCAAGATAGCGCTGGGAACGAGTCCCATATCACACCAGGACTGTAGAGGTTTCTAGATTGGGATTCCTGACCTAAACAAATAGTTATACTGACGTACTACAATGTTTTGCTACATATATGTATGTTCGGGTAGGAGGGGATTAATAGTCCCATTGCTAAAAATGCAAACTATCTTATAGGTCTCCCAGCAGATCTGCATGGAAATCATCAGAGTTAATTCCTGTTGAACAGACAGTTCATGACGATCTATAAAAAAAATTGTGCTATTTAACAATATCGTTCTAGTTTAATGACATTTCCAATTACCTACCAATTATGTCTGACCACCTCAGTATCTAACTGGTGAAAGTATTCTTTGTAGTCTGGAATCTATTCTCTCGAAAAGATTAAAGATAGCTTTGTGGTTACTGTTATCTTCTACGTAGGTACGTATTATCTAAACTTGAAATTGGTAATAACAGTCGAATTACCCAGAAGAAATGTGGTCTACAAATGAAGTCATTAGATATAAATATCTACTAATTTAGGATATAGAAAAGAAACTATATTTTAATTGACTTGTGATATTGATAATTATTTCTTATTACTTGTTAAATATTTATCGTAGTGAGTAGTTACTTCTACTTCTTTCATCAGTACAATCAATTTATACGAAAAACAATTATAGCAGTTGTCGAGTATGTCCTAACGACATATTTCATCCACTTGCCATAAAATAGGAAACTGCTTAGTGGCAGAAATAGATAGACACAGGTCACAGACGCCTTTTTATAAAATAACAGTGTAGGTAGTTATAAAATAATAAATTTGTAAATGTTAAGTATATTTTGTCTAGGAAATAGCTCGTCAGAACTTGAAGTTTAAGCTTGGATACAGATTTGTTTTATAAAAAATTAAGCTGCTTCTCTCATAGTATTCCACGAGTAAAAAAAAAAGATGCCAGGCGAAGCTCGCCTAGATGTTTGCCTTAATATCCACAAATTGTGAAAAAAAAGTGTAGTTTCATTGTTTTTCTTGTATTGAAAAGCAGTAATTAATATCCGTCAACACTTACACGGTAATATAGGAATTATCCACTATTAATTAAATAATTTGTTAAAAAATAATTCGCACTTTTCATAATTTTTTATTTCAATGCCGTCCGTTTTCTATTGTTGACACTTACGTGTCATTGTTCTAATTTTTGATACAGAGGCATCTCAATGACACCGCCGTGAGAGATATAACGAAATAGTACGTACAGCCGTGACCTTAGGAGCACACATAACAAATAGATCTCTTAACGATCGAATCTGCGCTAATGGAGTCATATGAGCTGAACATTACACCAAGGTGAGATCGTCATCATCACAATAACACTGTTGTGAAGACAAAGCGCGTACACGGATATATAGGTAACACATCAATGAAATATATATCTCAAAAAAATAATGGATCAAAATAGTAGAATCACGATTAAGGATGTTAACAACATTGATTTAATATGTGTAATCTGTTTAGGAAAGTATTACGTTAACAGGAAATTTTGTTAGACAAAAAACAGCCTACCAATCCGGACACGGAAGAAGTATATTAGGTACTAGATATGTTACAAAATTAAATAGAAATACCTAAATATGTTACAAAATATATAAAAAACTTTCAACTTTCGTGTTTTTTGCAATAAGTAGAAAATAATAAGAGTCTTAATAATTGTCACTTGCGCCGATCTGATAGAGTTTGAAACTCGTTTAGGTATATTTGACTTTATACGTAAATAATACTTACTACTATTACTTAAGTAACTA